TGATTAAACTGTGTCTTTGACATATTTGTAACTCTTTCATGAAATTTATGTGTTGTTAAATTCTCTCTTGTTGATGTCATATTCCTATTCTTCTCCATTCTTTGTTCCTCTCGAAGTTGTTTCAATTTTTTGTCTTTCCTTTCCCATTCTTGGAGCAAACTCTCTTTAGAACATAAACACAAAAATAACTCCAACTTCGGAAATCACTTAACATTTAATTCAAAACATCAATTTGACGAAGATAAAAATTGCAAAATCCTTCATCACATCAATAAAGGTTACTATTTGGAAATAATGGAAAACTATGAAATTAATAAATTCTTCAACAACTGCCCAGATGTAACATGCCTAAAAGAACAGATTATACCTACAAGAAGACCACTATATACCTATCTCAAACAACCATACTCACACCTCCACGAAAACCTCCCGAACCTTAAAAATAGCTGCTCTTTCTATACTATTTTATTTTTCAGAGTGTTTAATGTAAAATTGTTTGTATTTGTGTTATAATAAATCACTTTAACCTGTTAAAAATCAACCTATTCAAGACAAGAAAAATAAAATTGAATACACGACAATCACATCTGACAGATTACCAACATTACAATAGATACATGTTTAGATTTCTAAAAACTGAATTGACGTAAGTTAAAATGTTTTAGAAAATTATATTATGATAGAAAATGTTATAATAATGACTAATTTATAACTTTAGGAACTCCTGAGGATGCTCCGAAAATAGCGAAACCAGTAGAGTAATAATAAACACATTTCATCTTGAAGTGCAAAATTTGTTTAATTGAATTACCCAGGTGAAAAGAAAATAAAAATGAATATTATTTTGATAATATATGTTGTAATATTTAATTGAGACACTCTTTTGTTTTTCAATTTTATATTTTTTGTAGTCGTGCCTGAAGACGAATAACAATATTCGAAATACGATAACTCCTATTGCATTTTAAGCACCGAAAACAAATAAAAATAAATATTTTCATCATTTAAACAGAAAGGAATTTTCTTTTTCTCTCATTTTAATTTCATTTCTTTAATTTCTCATTAAACAATATTTCATATATTTTTAGTGTTTTTTATCTTTTGTTACCCTTTATTAATTCGTTATAAATGTTATGGATTAGTTTTTGTTCTACAAAATTGCAATTCTACAAATTTGCATTGTTCTACCATGGGTTTTTAACAATAACTAAGTATCAAGTCTCACGTATCTATAAATTAGTAGGAGCTAAACAGTGTTAAGTCACAAAATAGATTAATAAGCCACACGATATTAAGTCCTTTGCTAGAACCAAACAGTATTAAGTCCTTCAATTATTTTAAAATTATTTAAAAATTACTCTCGTAAAGTTTAAATAATCGGTTTGAAAAACATCATTATTCAAAATCTTCAAATTGCTCTTCTGTAAAACTTAAAAAAAGTCACAGAATAATTCTTTACAGTTTTAGTGTTAGATGAGATGTCCCGGAAGCTTTCGAACTCATCGAGGATAAAGTCGTAGTAATCCCTTTCTCGAATAATATTAATCCTTTCCTGAAGATTCCCGGGCACTTATTATGGTATGTACAGGCTGGTTCAAATTCGATGTCTGACTAGACTATCTCCGAAACTATAAAAGTTAGAAAAAAAGTAGCTTACATGTCATGATCTCGTTTTTCGAGAAACTGCTAATGCCGAAAACCTCAAAGCGCTATCGTCTTTTGTTTTTCCCCTAGAGGCCAACATTGAAAATATCGTAAAACCAACAAGTGCAATTATCTTGGTTATTATTATAGGTGGAGTATTATAACTAGGGCACGGAACTTTTGTAACGGAACGATACGATTTACCCCCACCACTTGTTCTCCTAGAAAACAAGGCGGTGGCGTCAAGTCAACTCACCTCATCGGTTGTTGTTGACGACCGACAATCGGTTTATTACACGTCAGTGTCAACTGTCAGTACGATTTGAAGATATTTAAAAAAAATATATTTTATAACTTTAATTCAAAAAAACATGATCCGATTTGTAATATCAATCACAAATCGAATACGGATATAAAAAAATTGCTATTAACGCATATTGAAACAACCATCCCTAAATTTTCTTCTGTAAATGACGTTCTAGTTGACGTTAAAATGAGTTTGTACCTAGAAAATAATCTTTCAACATCACAACTTGTAAATAGAGCATAAATAAAATACTGAGCTATTGAACCATATTTTTCCTTAAGAGTTAAAGGTATATTGTTTTCGGCAATTTGTTGAACAATTCTCAAATCCGAACAACAATTTTACCACAAAGGGAAACTAAAAACAATTCTTAAAAAAAACAATAATACGAACTCAAACAGAACTCCAACTTCCAATTAAAGGTAGCTAAAGAAAGATAAATAGCAAATTTGACGAAATTATGCGGATGAAAAGCGTCGAATACTGCACATTTAAACAACAGTGAAATCGTACTGACAGTTGACAATGTTGACATTGATGCGCAATAAAAAACCGATCGTCGGTCGTCAATAACAACCGATCATTTTCTAGGAGAACAAGTGGAGGGGGTAAATCGTATCGTACCGTTACAAAAGTTCCGGGCCCTAATTATAACTAAGACATTATATGGACACTTTTTTACAGAGAATTTGATGACGTAGTCAAAAAAAATTTTTCGGTTTTAGATTTCTAGATATTATGACAATTTTCGTTTTTTTAAATGGAAACAACCACTGATTATTCTCTTATTAAATTCGTTATTTTTTTCTGATTACAAAAATGTGGGGTCTATTTCTTATTGTTTTAGAATAAAGCTAAAAATAAGTTTTTTTTAGTGTCATCAAAGAAATTAAATTTACAGTTTCCTGTAAATTTTGTTCCCCTACAACTAAAAATTATTCTACTAAAAATTTATATAAAATTTACTTTTTTTGAATATGTAATTAGAATGTTAAAAAGAAAAGAAAATGTTAAACTTTTCGTAATTTTCGTAATCCATCTTAAAAAACAGGATTTTTAATTTGACACTTCAGAAAATTTTTGAATACAAACCAATACAAACAAATGTTGCTATGTTTATTTGAATTAAAAAATATAAAGTCCCTACATTTACAAAGTACAGCGGTTTGCCGCCATTTTGGCTCGAAAGTCAAGCGGGAAATTTGAAACTATGTCGTTCTATTGATAACATTACGCCAAAACTCCTTTCTTTTTTCTCGTGGTACTCTTAAGAGCCCTTCTTACTGCTATTTTGCAACTCCAAAGGCAACAAGACGAAAATATTTTTGTAAATACGTGGTAAGATGTTCTCAAACCGCCATTTTGGCTAGAAAACAGGCGTCATGAACCGCGGTACTTTAAAAAATATATATATGAGCGCCATCTATCAATAATTTATTAAGTTATTTAATAATAATATTAAATATTAATAAAAAATTTAATATAATGCAATCTATTCCAACTTTTGTGTAAAACAAATATAAATTAAATAGTTCAACAAATGTATTTGTTTCAAATATCAGAAATATGTTTTTTTTTAATTTTTAGAAGATTATAATTTACAGGAAACTGTAAATTTAATTTCTTTGACGACACTAAAAAAAAGTTTATTTTTAGCTTTACTAATAAGATTTATTTCTTAAAACAATAAGAAATAGACCTGTCAAACCCTATATTTTTGTAATCAGAAAAAAATAACGAATTTAATAAGCGAATTCAGTGGTTGTTTCCATTTAAAAAAGCGAAAATTGTCATGATATCTCATAATCTAAAACCGAAAAATATTTTTGACTACGTCATGAAATTCTCTGTAAAAAAGTGTCCATATAATGTCTTAGTTATAATACTCCACCTATAATAATAACCAAAATAATTGCACTTGTTGGTTTTACGATATTTTCAATTTTGGCCTCTAGGGGGGAAAAACAAAAGACGATAGCGCTTTGAGGTTTTCGGCATTAGCAGTTTCTCGAAAAACCAAATCATGACATGTAAGCTACTTTTTTTCTAACTGTTTTAGTTTTCGAGTTAGCCTATTCGGACATCGAATTTGAACCACCCTGTACTTCTTATTGGCTCTTGTAGCACCTGGTGTTCGCTAAATGATCAACCAACAAAAGAACTCCGGTTATCCAAAGTCGGTAGAAACTTATCATTATGGCAAATAAATAGAATATCTTGTGACCATCTATTTATCATAACATAGAAATGATTTAATTGTACCTAACCAAGATTTTTTGATATTTTTACTTCTTTTTTTCTCGGTCTACTTTTAAAACAAATAATTTATTACAATTATATATTGTTAAAACTAAAACAATATCAGAGTAATCCTGTTGTATATTGCGGATCTGCTGACTTCAGATTAAATTAAACAAATATTTACATTTGTTTTACTATAACAATAAATCATAAATGAATTAGCGAAAGATTATTAAAATTACCATCACAACAAAATTCATTTCATATTACGATCTTATTTTTTATTGTTTTTAACAGTTACAGTGGTTAATTTTTATTTTCAAAATTGAAAGAATTTTAAAATGTACGTCGGAATGTTTCTTAGAAAACATGCCTTTGCGTTTAAAAATTTTGAAGATTTTTGTAAGTACCTATTTAAATTAAAAAAATCGAAATACCAAACGAATCCAATTAGAAAAACAATTAAACCCCCTACAGGATTCCATTGGAGGTAGTCCTCATGGCAACAGAAAGTGGGGATGAGGGTGAAACTACCCTCCACCCCCTTTAACCGAAGAACCAGATTTACACCGTACAAATCAACGCGAATCCATAAAACATCTCATATCTAAAAATAAAATAAAACATTCAGTTACGAGTGTATCTTTAAAAAGAAACTACGAGATGAACTAACGTCAGTTTTAGTTTAAAAACAGTCCATGCTCGGTATTGATTTTTTTTGGCTCGGTTCGTTGCTGACGTCAAAGAGATCTTGGCACGTGTAATTCGGGCTTGAAGGGAAATCCCTGCCCTTCGCCTGCTCGATTTTCTAGTCGTCTCAAAACACTTGACCCGTCCGCCGGCTGCCAACAGTGACCAATTGGCCACTGATGACACCAGCACACAGGCGGGCCAATTTTTAAACCAAAAAATACATATAGTTACAATAGTTTCGAAGCTAAAGTCTTTTTTTAGTTTTTTCTAAAATACTTTCCGTCAAATTTTCGTACCTATTCGGCTAAAAAAGAAACGGGCAAAATCGGGGCTTTTCTTTCAACGGGTACAGAAGCTGAAGCAACGATCGCGATGAAACCGCCAACTACTACTATCTCAGATGACAACCTACACGTGCTGCGACAAATTTGTGAAAAACAACTACCGGCCACGATGCACGTGTGCAACCTGCTGAACACACATTTTAAATGGAACGAGAGAAACACCACCGGGAGTCACATGAAGTTCATCTCGTTGGGGGAGGATTGGAAGACAAAGGGTACATTTGCGGTGAAGGTAAATATCCTGAAAATCAATTGCTTTACGGAGGGTCTCACCCACTACCAACCGGATGTTAATTATCCCAGATCGTTATTTTTTCATTTTTATTATTTAGCATGTACATTAAGTAGATTAAAAATTACTTGGATATTTTGTACGATTTAGAATTAATTATAATCCACCCCATTGATTTTAATTTTTATTTGTAATTCAAGGGAAATAATAAATAAACAACCTTAATCTCAAAATTTAAATTGTATAAATAATCTACTCAGTCGTTTTGTTAAATTTTATTAGACACAGTATTAAATTATATATTCGTGCTCAAACATGTCTACTTTTTTATGTTGCGAAATAATTATGTTTGACGCATCGTTTCAATATAAAACTTTTACAAAGGACTTTCTGATTACATACGACAAAAAACTGATCGATTTTTACAGAACTTTTCCTTTGTGACTGACAAGGTCGAAATAATATGGATCAATACTCAATGTTTTTAGCATCAAATTAGGTAATAATAATGATATTGAATTAACTTCCATTGAGATAGTAAACAAAACAACAGTTTATGTGTAAGTGATTAATTTGATTTATAAATACGTATGGTGGATTTTCAGAAGCTTTGTTACATGAACCAAACTTAATTAAGCGACATTTGTTATTCTTTTGCATACTTCAAAGGATTACTCTTCTTTATAATTAGGTTCATTAGTGTGCTTTTTATATTCAATAGCTTGAAGGTGACGACTCTTCCTTTTGCTGTTATCTCAATACTGCCAAAATTTGAACCAAATTAATAATTTGGAACCAAACACTTTCGGTCTATAGTTTCGATATTAGTGTTATTACTTTGAATAAATCGAATGGCAATAATTTGCCATATTTTTTATTATTACCATTCCAAAATTGAAACAGACTTTCTACAAATTTATATTATAAGCCTATATATAAATTTTCCTGATTGTTTTTAGTAATCCAAATATCACCTTCTCTTTTTTCACCCAACACTGATTAGCCCGTAAGCGAGTTTGACATAATTCTTCTTCTTCGCCTTTTCTCTCATTCCCTACAGCGTCGAGTCGTCGATCAATTTTTAGTATTCTTCTCTATTCAGCACCAACCTCTTTACTTCCTCCATGTTCCTTCTCCTCTGCTGAATCGCACTCTTAATCCTGTCCAGCCACTTCGTTGCGAGTCTCCCCTTCCCCTCTTCTGCAACTGTATATTCTATACAGGGTGATTCAAAAAACCGCTGACAGACTTCTAGGGCAGGCAATACATTAAAAATTAAGATGAAAAGTCTTAATATACATAGGGTCGCAAATGCCTCCTTAACGAGATATAGCGGGTCAAAGTTTCTTTAAAATTAAACATCTGCAATAAAAAGCCGTTTTTTAAAAATAGATTCAACTTCACTGCTAACTTTGTCAAACGGCCAGTATTTTCGTGTAAAGTAATCAATTATCTATCAATTGGTCTCTTACAAAACTTTGATTAAAGCAACAGTTTTTGATCGAATTAACAAATTTTCTACAAAGGTGTTTTTCTTAAAAACTATTGCTTTGATCAAAGTCTTTTAAAAGACCAATTGATAGATAATTGATCACTTTACACGCGTAGAGAGCAATGGCGTAGACAATATTTTTAAAAAAGTGCTTTTTATAGCAGATAATGTTTAATTTTAAAGAAACTTTGATCCGCTATATCTCGCCAACGAGCGAGCATTTGCGACCCCATGTATATTAAAACTTTTCATATTAATTTTTGATGTATTACCTGCCCTAGAAATCTGTCAGCGGTTTTTTGAATCACCCTGTATAGTTTTCATTAAAATATCTATCGCTACTTACTCCCTTGGTTGTATTTCTGGCTCTATCCCTTCTCGTCCTGATTATTATTCGCCTTAGGTATATCATTTCTGCAATTGTTACTTTGCTTGTGTGCTTATCCTACATTGACCAGGTTGTCGCTTTGTACAGCGTGGTTCAAATTCGATGACCGCATAGGCTATCTCGAAAACTACAAGAGTTAGAAAAAAAGTAGCATACATGTCTCTATCTCTTTTTTTAAATAAATTCCAATGTCGAAAACCTCAAAGCACTATCGTCTTTTGTTTTTCCCCTAGAGGCCAAAATTTTAAAATATCGTAACACCAGCAAGTGCAATTATTTTGGTTATTATTATAGGTGGAGTATTATAACTACGACATTATATGGACGCTTATTAAATTCGTTACTTTTTTCTGATTACAAAAATATAGGGACAGGTCTTTTTCTTATTGTTTTAGAATAAAGCTAAAAATTAACTTTTTTTAGTGTCGTTGAAGAAATTAAATTTACAGTTTCCTGTAAATTACGGTCTATAACTAAAAATTAGAAAAACGAATTTCTCCAATCCAATACAATGCAATCCATTAAATATTTCCGTATTAACAGTTGGTGTAATAAACATAATTATTTGTTTTTAAATACCAGAAAAATAATACCCCGTAATTTAAATACTATATACCCGGTAATTTACAGGAAAATGTAAATTTCATTTCTTCGACGACACTAGATTATAAAAAAGTGTATTTTTAGATTTATTCTAAAACAATAAGACATACACCTATCGAACCCTATATTTTTGTAATCAGAAAAAAGTATCGAATGTAATAAGCGTATAATCAAATTCTCTGTAAAAAAAGGTGTCCATATAATGTCTTAGTTATAATACTCCACCTATAATAATAACCAAGATAATTGCACTTGTTGGTTTTACGATATTTTCAATTTTGGCCTCAAGGGGAAAAGCAAAAGACGATAGCGCTTTGAGATTTTCGACATTGGGATTTATTTAAAAAAAGAGATCGAGACATGTAAGCTACTTTTTTTCTAACTCTTATAGTTTCCGAGATAGCCTATTCAAACATCGAATTTGAACTACCTGTACAGGGTATCCAAATTTCGATGGGTTTACAGAGTATCTCAGTTATGATGAAAGATAAAAAGTTGCGGCTTTCGCGAACCTGAGCTACTTTTTTTATGAAACTTGCAATGGCGCAAACCAAATTTTCATAGCCTTCTTCGTTTTCGAAATACAGGAGTGTTTCAAAATTTACGATTTTCAGACACCTCCTGTATCACGGCTATCCGGAAACGTAAAAACGGGTTCTAATAGATTTTTTCACGTAGAATCTAATGGTGCACGTAGAATTTTTCTAGTCATCACGGTTTTTGAGTTATAAAGAGTTAAGTATTTTAGAAGTTGAGTATTCAGTATTTGAGTTGTGTTTATTAATAAAATTTAATAAAATTTTTGATTGCTAAAGGCTTCTAAAGCTGCGACGAATTTGTAAGCAATGATTTTCAATTAATATGAACACTAATTTCCCACCAATATTTACTGCTGGTAATCAATCTCCTTCAAAATATATATACATGTGTATACCTGACTTTATTTTTATTTTATTTAATTTTATATATTAATTTTTAAATTTGACTCATGTATTTGCAAATATTCATGTATTTGTTTATATTCCATGTAATATAACCTGACGTGTGAAAATGCTGTAATAGTGTGGACATCACAAATAAATTATTATTATTATTTATCTATGTAACGTCTGATCCTTGTCTCGATTATCTTCGAGTATATCTTCTGCAAGCATGATAACAGGCAGATAGCCCCATAGTTATCACAATCGTTCGTGCTTCCTTTCTTTGCATAGTGGCATGAGAATATTTGTCTCCCAGTCTCTGGGTATGGCTTCTCCATCCCAGATCTGCGTTACAACTAATATCATATCATTCCAAAAACTGGCCAACAGATTGCAGTGCCTCAACTAGTCCATAAATACAGAATTCGCAGTACTTTGGTTTATTATTATTATTATTGCTGCCGGGCTGAGGGGAGCGGCCCCTCTCGTTACCGCGACCTATAAGATCTATTGTAACTTTAGCCCCCCAAAAGTTTAGGGCAAATGTCGGTAGGTAACACGGGAGTTTTACCGAAAATGTTGTGTCGGCGACGCAATTGCACAGTATATGTTCAGCAGTTTCTGACTCGTCGTTGCATAGTCGACAAGTTTGATCCTCATCTTGTCCAATGTGGAAGAGGTGGTATTTTAGGGGCGCATGGCCGGCCAGGTAACCTGAGAGCGTCCTTAGATCCCCTTTGCTGAGGCATAAAACCTCTTTGGTTTTGTTTTGCGACGGAGTTATCATACTCTTCACTTGTCTGTGACCTAGAAGTTCATTCCAGCGTAAGGCTACCTTTGAAACCTCCCAGTTGTTGATTATTTGTTTTAGGTGGCTTTTTTGTAGTCCACAACCAGGTTGAGGTCCAATGAAAGGGGTGTTCGCTGCCTCTTTGGCCAGCTTGTCCGCCTTTTTGATTGCCCTCAATGTTGCTGTGACCTGGAACCCACCATAGGGTAACATCATTGCCCCTAGCGAGTTCTCTCAGGTTGCTGGTATACTCTCTGATCAGTGCGGAGTCACACGTAGGCCTGAATTGCCTTTAAGGGGCGGCTTAAAGGCTGTCTGTGAAAATGTTTATAGATGCACCTTTTTGTTCCTTCTGTAGGTTCAAAGCGGTGCAGAAGTTTATAGCAAGAACTTCTGCTTGGAAAATTGTTATGTCCGAGCTGCGGGACAATTTGATGTGGCTATTTGGTCCACTGATGCCCATGCGTACTCCGCATTGATGCCATGCTGTAAACGGACTTTTGTTTACAGCATGGCATCAATTCAGTGCAATTTCTGATATTTTCTTGAAATTCAGGAAAGTTCCTGGCATTTGGTAATGATTTTACGTTTTTACAGTATCATGGCAAAACTTCTTCATGCAATCTAGAATCCTCTCAGTATATTTACCGACTTTATCTTACCGTTTTGAATTCGATTAACTTAATTTCTGAACTGTTTGTGATGTTTAGACTTTGACTAAACCAATTTCAAACTTTTTTTGGTGTTAGGTCCTTGTAGGTCCAGATTAGCTTTTTTAGTCTGAAGTCTAACCGGAATAATTCGACACTTTTGCTTGCAATAACGCATCCATCCAATACAATTTGATACAGTTTCTTGAATTATGGAAACTTGTTAGTGTGTTTGGATTTTTGTTTGTGAGTTGGCAGTATGGAAAGAGCATTTCATAAGAAAATAATGTTTTCTGATGAATCAAGTTTTTCGATCAATGGTATTGTGGCTTCGCAACATGCACCATATTGAAGTGACTCTAATCCGCATGTCCAGACCACTGGATTGAGAGACAAGGACCAGTTTAGTGGCCTCCTAGGAGTCCAGATTTAACATTAATGGATTTTTTCCTATTGGGCCGATTGAAACAAATTGTTTATCGCGCACCTCAAATAAATGCTGATCAATTAAAGGATGCGATAAGAGATGCCGTTGCTTCAATATCTTTACGTGAGGTTAGAAAAAGTTTTGATGAATTACATGTTCGTTTAAAGGTATGTGCCCAACAGGGTGGTAGTGTGTTTGAGTATATAAACTTACAACTTGTGCATTGATTTGGAATTAGTTAATTGATATTAAAATAAATTTAATGATCACAAATAAATAAAAGTAGACCGATTTTTTCGAAAATTGTTATTAGAGACTACCTTTTACTTTTGAACAACTTTTCCTAGTAACTTATTTTCTTATCTTCTCAAATAAATGTACTTTACTCTTGTACCATTTAAAGTTTTTTCAATTTTCTGAACACCGCGTATAAAATATGTTAAATGTTTTTATCCCAATCTTACTCTAAGAACTAGCCAAATTTTTTATCAAGATTAACTTGTTTCGGTAAAATTAAAAATAAAAAGGTTTTTCCTATTCAACACCTTTTTCGTGGACATACTGTATAAGTGGAGCGGTGTGAGACCGAGTAGAGCAGTAGAGCTTCCAAAGCAACCGTCGGGCAGGATCTCATTGCACCCATTATGTTAAGACATGCTAACCGCTGGATTTGTGCCAGCTGTTGTTGTGCTGTCTTATGTTTTGTTTTTGGCCACCAAACCAATGAGGCGTATACGACCATGGGTCTGATTATTGCTACGTAGGCCCAATGAGCCATTCGTGGTTTGAGACCCTAGTTCCTTCCTAGGAGCTCGCGGCAGATCTGGTGTGCCATGATGGCCTTTTTCCTCACCTGATCTAAGTGTGAGTTCCAGTTTAGTTTACTGTCAAGTATTACCCCTAGGTATTTAACTTCTGTTTTGAGGTTAATAGTTCTGCTTTCAATCACGTTAGTGCTTTTATTTATAGCTTCCTTCTCCGAGTGAACCCTGTTGAGCCCATTGCTTCTACACCAAGTACTGGTGAGTAGTAGGGCTTTCTGCATTAGCTGAGTTATGATTGAATCATATTTACCTCGGATTGTGATTACCAGGTCATCAGCATACCTTTGTATCTTAAATCCGTTTTTAGTTAGGGTGTTCATCAAGTCTTAGCGCATATTAGCGCCTTTATAGTCAGCGACTCTCCTCCCAGACTGGCTGTGATCTGCCGACTTTTCAACATGGCTATACACCACTTGATTGTCGACGCATGTATGTCTTTTACGTTTAGACCCTTCTCTATGGATTCATATGAGGTGTTATCAAACGCACCCTCTATGTCTATGAAAGCACATAGGGCTATCTCTTTGGTTGCAATTGCCTCCTTAGTACTTTGGCTTAGTATTTAGTAAGATTGAAACTGCAGGTATTTCAAGTGTTTCAATTTATTGATTTATATTGAAATGAGAAAATAATTTTCTGGGTGACTGAAATCTTCAAGTAATTTTTTGGTTTCTCAGGATCAAATTATACATTTTATTAATGAATAAAATTTCAATAAGTTCAAAGAGGTTTAAATGTGTTCGCAGAAAATAGTCGAAAAGACAAAATAAAATCTTAATCAGAGAACCGATAACTAATAACCAGCATGTCATCAAAAAGAGTGTGATTGATATTTTCACCTTTAATCGAAAATAATACACTTGATCATTATCTATAATTACACTTTTAATTATTGATTTGGCCAAGAAAGAAAATATTAATCACTTAAGAAGGTCAGAACGAACGTCATAACAATCCAACCCACTAGAATAACGATTTTAACGATTTTTTTTATTTTCAGTATAATTCAGTAGACATATTTGTTTTTACTTTGGAAAAAGACTGTGATAGTCTCCGTCAGCTGCTGATGGAGACGGACCTATTAGATTCCGCAAATCAAAACATCTTCTATTGCATTCTCAACGAACACCTAACAACCGTCTATGACACTTTGTCCGAACTCAACGTGGATGTAACTGAATCTTATACAACAGCTATGTATTGGATTTCAAAGGAGAGGGCGCTCAACTTCCCCGTAAAGTAAGTATAGCATTCCAATCATCCATTAGCTTGTCAATTTGGACTTTCTCGTTATTGTTTATGGATACTTTTACATTAATAATTTTTTCAAAAAGGTCGACACGCAACGTTTACTATAAATATTGCAAAACGCAAACATGGTTCAAACTCGTTAATTTATTTATTGACTTTTATTGATGGTGGTAGATTAAAAAAAATGGGGAAATATATTTAACCTAGATTATTTTCGCTTTTAACTAATTTAAACTATGAAAGTAGCATTTTAAATAAGCGTATCGTCACGGACTATAAATATTCACTCGGTACATTTGAACAGGTCAATATGCCAGTAAAAATGAGATATTTTTAACTTAAAATTTTCCACTCTTACTTCCAAAAAATTCATGCGCAACTTTTTTTTGTAGATGTTCAGAAGATGTGTATATAGGAACTTTAAATCAGTCGCACGTGCCTTTAGTATCTAGTCTTTGGCCGAGAGAGTTTAATGGTGCCAATGAATACTTTTCGTCATTCGTAGAAACAAAAGGAGGATTAGGAGTATTCTTAAAGAGTAATAATCAATTAGTTTCATGGGTACTCAGGAATCATTGGGGCGTTTTGGTCAATTTAAGAACCATACCGGATTATAAGCGTAAAGGATATGGGACGCTTTTGGTGAAAGCTATGTGTAAGAAAATAGCTGAAGAAGGAAACACGCCATTAGCAACTATAATTGTTGGAAATATCGCATCGGAAGATTTATTTAAAGGACTCGGTTTTGAATACTACGATATGTGTAACACCATAACAGTCAACTAAAAATTTTCAAAAGAAAAAATTGATATTTAAAAGTAAGAAAAAGAAAAGAAAATTAACTAATTAATTATAATAATAAAAAGAGTTTTATATTTTAGACAAAAACTAGTGAGTGTGTTAATCTCTATAATAGACTTAAGTCGTTTATTAATTGGTACCATTTAAATTACTTAAAGTTAATAAGTATTTAAAAATCACTTAAATATTTAAAAATTATTATTGAAAAAAAATACAAATTACAGTAGAAGTGTTTTGAGCTATGTAACCTCTGACTTGTAAAATTTAGCCAGTGTGTGTATAAATTAGAACTTGATTAACCACCTATTTGACTTGGACGAAATAAATAATTCAAATTCTGGCATTTCTACGACGATATTTGGCATGTCTAAATCTAAAAGACCATTTGGAATTCAATAGCGACACTTGTATATTATAAGCACCTGTTGTCGTTCTTTGGGCTTACGTTCAAATTTGTTCGATTGTCGCAATTAAATATCTTTTATTTTTAGACCATGCCCCGGTGTCCAACAAAAAAATTGTATAGTCCATTCTTGAGCCAATTTTTAATGATACAGGTAAGTAAAGAATTTTTTATTATTACCATTAAAACTTTCAATCGCATTTCCTAAACACTTAACATAGTATGGATCAAAAGTCACAATACCAGTAAGAGACATTAAATTAATGTTGTTAAATACTGCCAGATTTAAAATAATAACAATTGGAGTTTTGTTATGTTGGGTTGGCAAGAAATAGAATTATTTAGATTGTGTTCGCGATGATATATAAATGCTGACAAAAAATGATCCAATTTATTTAGCTCATTTATAACTTGCTGACTATGTGAACGAAAAAATGGTCACTAAATAATAGAACAGCAATAAAATATCTTAATCTTAAATTCATCATAAGTAAGCAAATCACTCAAACTGTCTTATACATGTGTATGTACTATCAATTTGTCAATCAACTATCTATTCAAATTAAAGCCCAAACATTCTAATTTATGATAATATGTAGAGTGAATAAGGTTTGATTATAAGAACTGTAAGGAATAAAATCATTAACAAAAAATTACAAAATTAGGTTTTGGAAGAACTTTTCAGAAAATAAGAAAATTTCAAAAAATATTCCTTCTTTACATTTAAAGGTTGGAATGTGTTATATCTCAAAACTCAAACATTCTAATTAATGAGAAAATGTCGAATGAATAAGGTTTGAATAAGAATTTCAAAAAATAAACTCGTAAACAAAAAATTGCAAAATTACGTTTTGGTAGAACTTGACAAAAAATAAAAAAATCACTACGTTTTTATTTTTAAAGATTGGAATGCGTTTTATATCTCTAATTAAAATTCAAACATACTAGTTTATGATAAGATGTAAAATTAATAAGGTCTCATTATAAGAATTGCAAGAAAAAAATCATAAACATAGATTGCAAAATTAGATTTTGGTAGAACTAGACAGAAAATACAAAAATTTAAAAAAATCACTCCATTTTAATTTTTAAAGGTTGGAATACGTTTTATATCTAAAATTAAAATGTAAACATTCTACTATATGACAATATATAGAATTACTAAGGTTTGATTATAAGAATTTCGAGATATAAACCCATATACAAAAGATTGCTAAATTACGTTTTGGAAGAACTTGTCAAAAAATATATATGTAAATCTCAAACATCACTCCGTCTTTATTTTTAAAGATTGGAATGCGTTTTATATCTCGAAACATTTTACTTCATGACGAGATGTAGAATTACTAAGGTAGAATTTATGGTTTATTTTTATAGATTAGAATATGGGTTATATCACATAATAAAGCTGAAACATTCTAATTTATGACAAGATGTAGAATTAATAAGGTTTCATTATAAGAATTGCAAGAAATAAATTTATAAAGAAAAAACTGCAAAATTATGTTTTAGAAGAACTTTTCAGAAAATAAGAAAATTTCAAATAATCATTCCATCTTTACTTTTATAGGTTAGAATGTGTTTTATATCTCAAAACTCAAACATTCTAATTAATGATAAAATGTCGAATGAATAAGAATTTCGAGAAATAAACTCATAAACAAACAATTACAAAATTATGTTTTGGTAGAACTTGACAAAAAATAAAAAAATCACTGCGTTTTTATTTTTAAAGATTGGAATGCGTTTTATATCTCTAATTAAAACTCAAACATACTACTTTATGATAAGATCTAAAATTAATAAGGTCTCATTATAAGAATTGCGAGAAAAAAATCATAAACATAGATTGCAAAATTAGATTTTGGTAGAACTAGACAGAAAATACAAAAATTTTAAAAAATCACTCCATCTTTATTTTTAAAGGTTGGAATGCGTTTTATATCTCAAATTAAAATTTAAACATTCTCCTTTGTGACAAGTTGTAGAATTACTAAGGTTTGATTATAAGAATTTCGAGATATAAACTCATATACAAAAAATTGCAAAATTACGTTTTGGTAGAACTTGTCAAAAAATATATAAATCTCAAAAAATTACTCCGTCTTTATTTTTAAAGTTATATCTCCAATTAAAGGTCAAACATTGTACTCTATGACGAAATGTAAAATTACTAAGGTTTAATTATAAGAATTTTGACATATACACTCATAAACAAAAAATTGCAAAATTACGTTTTGGTAGAATATGAAAAAAAATAAAAAAATCACTACATTTTTATTTTTAAAGATTGGAATGCGTTTTATATCTCTAATTAAAGTTCAAACATTCTACTTTATGATAAGATATAAAATTAATAAGATCTCATTATAAGAATTGCGAGAAAAAAATCATAAACATAGATTACAAAATAAGATTTTGGTAGAACTAGACAGAAATTTCAAAAAATCACACCATCTTTATTTTGAAAGGTTGGAATGCCTTTTATATCTCAAATTAAAATTTAAACATACTACTTTATGATAAGATGTAGAATTACTAAGGTTTGATTGTAAGAATTTCGAGATATAAACTCACATACAAAAAATTGCAAAATTACATCTTGGTAGAAATTGCATCTTTATTTTTATAGATTAGAATATGGGTTATATCGCAAATTAAAGCTGAAACATTCTAATTTATTCCAAGATGTAGAATTAATAAGGTTTCATTATAAGAATTGCAAGAAATAAATTTATAAAGAAAAAATTGTAAAATTATGTTTTAGAACTCTTCAGAAAATAAGAAAATTTCAAATAATCATTCCATCTTTACTTTTATACGTTAGAATGTGTTTTATATCTCAAAACTCAAACATTCTGCTTTATGACAAAATGTAGAATTACTAAGGTGTGATTATAAAAATTTGAAAAAATAAACTCATAAACAAACAATTGCAAAATTACGGTTTGGTAGAACTTTAAAAAAAAATAAAAAAATCACTCTATTTTTATTTTTAAAGATTGGAATGCGTTTTATTGAACTAATTAAAGTTCAAACATTCTACTTTATAATAAGATATAAAATTAATAAGATCTCATTATAAGAATTGCTACAAAAAAATTATAAACATAGATTGCAAAATAAGATTTTGGTAGAACTAGACAGAAATTTCAATAAATCACTCCATCTTTACTTTGAAAGGTTGGAATGCCTTTTATATCTCAAATTAAAATTTAAACATTCTACTTTATGACAAGATGTAGAATTACTAAGGTTTGATTGTAAGAATTTCGAGATATAAACTCACATACAAAAAATTGCTAAATTAGGTTTTGGTAGAACTTTTTAAAAAATACATAATTCTCAAAAAATCACTCCGTCTTTATTTTTAAACATTGGAATGCGTTTTATATCTCCAATTAAAGAAACATTTTACTTTATGACGAGATGTAGAATTACTAAGTTTGAGTTATAAGAATTTTGAGATATAAACTCATAAACAAACAATTACAAAATGATGTCTTGGTACAATTTGCATCTTTATTTTTAAAGATTAGAATATGGTTTATGTCGCAAATTAAAGCTGAAACATTCTAATTTATGACAATATATAAAATTAATAAGAATTGCAAAAAATAAATTTATAAAGAAAAAATTGTAAAATTATGTTTTGGAAGAACTTTTCAGAAAATAAGAAAATTTCAAAAAATCATTCCATCTTTACTTTTAAAGGATAGAATGGGTTTTATATCTCAAAACTTAAACATTTTAAATAGTGATAAAATGTCGAATGAATTAGGTTTGATTATAAAAATTTCGAGAAATAAACTCGTAAATAAAAAATTGCAAAGTTACGTTTTGGTAGAACTTGATAAAAATAAAAAATAAACTCCGTTTTTATTTTTAAAGATTGGAATGAGTTTTATATCTCTAATTAAAGCTCAAACATTCTACTTTATGATAAGATCTAAAATTAATAAGGTCTCACTATAAGAATTGCGAGAAAAAAATCATAAACATAGATTATAAAATTAGATTTTGGTAGAACTAGACAGAAAATACAAAAATTTTAAAAAATCACTCCATCTTTATTTTTAAAGGTTGGAATGCGTTTTATATCTTAAATTAAAATTTAAACATTCTACATTATGACAAGATATAGAATTACTAAGGTTTGATTAGAAGAATTTCGAGATATAGACTCATAATATATAAAAAATTGCAAAATTACGTTTTGGAAGAACTTGTCAAAAAATATATAAATCTCAAAAAATCACTCCGTCTTTATTTTTAAAGATTGCAATTAAATTATATCTCCAATTAAAGCTCAAACATTTTACTTTATGCCGAAATGTAAAATTACTAAGGTTTAATTATAACAATTTTGAGATATAAACTCATAAACCAAAAATTGCAAAATTACATCTTGGTAGAAATTGCATCTTTATTTTTAAAGATTAGAATATGGTTTATATCGTAAATTAAAGCTGAAACAGTCTAATTTATGACAAGATGTAGAATTAATAAGGTTTCATTATAAGAATTGCGAGAAATAAATTTATAAAGAAAAAATTACAAAATTAGGTTTTGGAAGAACTTTTCAGAAAATGAAATTTCAAAAAATCATTCCATCTTTATATTTAAAGATTAGAATGCGTTTTATATCTCAAAACTTAACATTCTAAATAATGATAAAATGTCGAATGAATACGGTTTGATTATAAGAATTTCGAGAAATAAACTCGTAAATAAAAAATTGCAAAATTTCAATTTGGTAGAATTTGCATCTTTATTTTTTAAGATTAAAATATGGTTTATATCGCAAATTAAAGCTGAAACATTCTAATTTATGACAAGATGTAGAATTAATAAGTTTCATTATAAGGATTGCAAGAAATAAATTTATAAAGAAAAAATTGCAAAATTATGTTTTAGAAGAACTTTGCAGAAAATAAGAAAATTTCAAATAATCATTCCATCTTTACTTTTAAAGATTGGAATGCGTGTTATATCTCCAATTAAAGCTCAAACATTTTACTTTATGATGAGATGTAGAATTACTAAGTTTTAATTAAGAGAATTTTGAGATATAGAAGAAAATAAACTCGAAAGAACGATGAAAAAATTAAATTTATTAATATAAATTCGGTGCTATTGACAATTTCAAACGCCTAGCGTTCTTCATTAGGCACGACTACAAGAAACAACAAAATACAAATTAAATCAAGAATTGTACATATGTGGTACATATATTTAAATTAATTGATCAAAGAATCCTTATAAATCTTAAAATATTTTATACTTTGTATACAAATAAAGAAACATTTACCGTCAGACGAAGAGCATCAAGTTGAGGGTTTTCGAGAGTACATTGAGTCCTTGCAAAAATCATTTATGAGATTGTTTCCAAAGAAAACATGAAAAAAATGTTGAAAATCGCCAAAAACTTATTTGTGTATAAATTTATGATCTGATGGGTATGAGTATAAGAAAGTGTAAAAAAATTGTGTAAAGTTATTAAAAACGTGAATAATATTAAGTTTTTTCTCGTTGTAAATTAAAAAAAAATAATAATAATAAAGAAAGTCAAAATTTATCCCAAACCTGTAGAAGAGTAGGATAGAATTAGCAATAAAATAACAAAACAAATTCAACTTACGTTAAAAGAGAGATGAGGAACGCTAGGCGTTCGAAATTGTCAATAGTATCGAATTTACATTAATAAATTTACTTTTTTCATCGTTCTTTCGAGTTTATTTTCTTCAATATCTTACGATGAACCCGGAATCTACAATCTCTAAATTTTGAGATATAAACTCATAAACAGAAAATTGCATCGTTATTTTTAAAGATTAGAATATGGGTAATATCACAAATTAAACCTGAAACGTTCTAATTTATAACAAGATGAATTACAAGAAATAAATTAATAAAGAAAAAATTGCAAAATTAGGTTTCGATAGAACACGCCGAAAAAATTTTAAAAACCATTCCATCTTTATTTTTAAAGGTCAGAATGAGAGCTGATAGTGATTCAGTGCTCGTCGAATCAAAGAAATTATGTACAAATTCTGCAGACATTAGACGAATCAAGAGGTCTATTGACATCTTAACGTTTGATTCCAAGAAAACTTTAGAATTTAATTTAGCTAACACCAAAATTCTACTGGGAATCGACTTTATTTAAGGAACTCTTGAGTAAAGATGTGTAATATCTGTAAATTCTATCTATTAATATCTATAAAACTATAATTTCATTGATTCCTTAAAACACCTCTTCATCACGATTTCGTAATGATATATGAAACTCCTCGTGTAAGAGGTTAGTTATAAGCTTATAGTTATGTGTTAACAAGAAATTTTGTAAACTTTATGCAACTTGACACACACTTCTCGTATTTGCAACTATTTCCATGTTCGTGCTAATCGTAGAAATACTCTTTTTCATGCCAAAATTAAAAACACATATAATATTAATCTATATTAAGATGTTTGCGAAGATAGTGTATTTAAAGATGTAAAGTGACTTTTGGCCGTCTCTGTACAACACCATTTCAAAGAATTTGATTTCGTGAAATACAATACCCATAAAATACTATTTTACATTCAGTTGGCATGGAATTTAATTACTAAAACAGTGTACCCGAGTAAATAACGTTATTATCGCATTAAATAGACACTTTGAACATGTCTTATCATTTTCTACGTAATTAATATCAAAATGTCTTATCAAATACCGGATGATAATCGAAAATTAAAACAATAGTACAGTTACCTTTATGACTTCATATTAAGTGATACGAATTAATAAGATTTTAATTAAATCTTTAATATTAAAAAAATGGAAAAATCTGTGAAAATTCTTAACGATGAAGATTTAAATGTTTTAAAATCACTGTATATAAACCACATACCTTATGCTTCACATGTTGTAAGTTTAATTGATAATCACTTTTTATCGAAACTAAAGAAAATAAACGGTGATTATGTACAATTTTTCGCTTTGGACAATGATTGGAAAACGGACGGAACGTTTTTAATGAAGGTAAAGATGTTAATTAATATTAAATCATACTAACAAATTTTACTTATAGTTTAAAAATTATGACATATTCACATTTACTTTATCGAGCAATAAAGATCAGATATACGAATTAATGAAAAAAACGAATGCTTTAGATGTAAATCGAAGAACAGTATTATATGGGATAAGAAACGAACATTTACCACCAGTTTATAAAGCGCTAAAAGAACAAAATGTAAAAATAAAAGACGCAATCGAGTGCTTAATTTATTGGTTGCCCAAAGAAAAAGCTTTGGAATTCACGATAGAGTAAGCTGATAAATACATCATAATTTTATTTAATACTACTTTCATCATTTTAGATGTCCTGATGAAGTTTACGTATCTGAATTAAATCCAACCCACTCAAAATTAATAGCAAGTCTTTGGCCGCATAGTTTCGATGATGCAGACAAATACATTTCGTATCTTTTAGAGATGGGTTTTGGATATGGAGTATTTTTAAAAGACGGGGATAAATTAGTTACTTGGATATTAACGCCACATTGGGGAACTTTAGCGATTTTGGAAACATTACCTGAATATAAACGTAGGGGATACGGACGTTTGGTAACCAAACAACTTTGTAAGAAGATTGCTGAAAATGGTATCAATCCTCTATGTACCATCGTAGTGGGAAACATCGTTTCTGAAACGATGTTTAAAAAGATGGGTTTTCAACATATTGATAATGCGACATTTATTGTATTTTAATTTAAATGTTGTTATTGCTGAAAATAACTTTATTAATATTTATTTATTGAAAATAAAATTTCTGTTTATTAATAATTAATAAAGTTCTGTTTCATTACTTTTGTGTACTTACCTTGCAAGTAGTGGTACGTACGAGAGTCTCGTACATGAGGTCTTGCGTCTCGTACGAGAGTCTCGCAGGTAAGTATTTCTGCAAATAATATCTTCAATATTTCTGTAAATATTTTCGTATCTACACGCTGGAATTCCAGTAATGATATGTTGAAAGTACCTCTTGAAGGTAGACATAGACTTGATACATTGTGTCAAAATGTTGTTGATTTAAAACCATATGCTCTAGAGGACAAAGAATGGATACTGCTAGAAGAAGTGCATAAATTACTAGTCAACTTTCAAATACTTTCCAAGAAACTCGGAGGAGAGAAGTACATCAAATTACCTATGGTGGTTGTATGTATCAATATACTAATACATAATATTGAGAGCAAAATATTTGCATGGGACCGAAAGGCAGATCGAAACGCTGTCGAAGAGCAGCTTATTCTTACTTTTCAGGCTACGAGAGACAATATTTTGTATTGTATTGTTTTGTATACTTGGGTTTTCTCTAAATAGTAGGATTGAACAAAACGCTATACAGCACACGTGCGAAACTTATATTTTCCACTAACTTGTATGTCTTTCAACACTCGCCTTTGGCTCGTGTGAAAATCTGACAGTAATATACTATATATCTGAACACAATACAATCTTTATTATTTTATTTAAGACACAACGATATTGTTATTTTATTTTGTTACTGTCTAAAATACGTCACTCCGAAATTCCGAATCAACATGGCGCCCAACGTCTGTTCTGTTACACTATTAAAGAAAACTTAAATTTCACAAAAAATTGAAGAAATGGAGAAACGTTAGTGATTTTCTGTCTTTGAAATTATTACGTAAACGTGCTACGGTGTTAACAGCTTGCGACTACAATTCCTATCTTAAACGTGTCTAAGATTCATTAATTGATCCATCTCACCTATGGTCGTATGTTAATAGCAGGAAACGTACTTGTGACGGTATTCCAGCTCGGATGGATTATGATGGCGTGTCAATGGAGGGCGGGCAGAACATATCGGAACTGTTCTCCAACTATTTTTCTTCCGTTTATATAGACGGAATTCTTGACAATCAACCTTCCACTAGAAGCTCTTTTTTCTATCTCGTCCTTGGTTCTCACTGTAGGATGTTACAGATCTCCTGAGTCTAGTTGACCCTAAATTAGGCCCAGGTTCAGATGGTTTGCCTGGTAGGCTTATTGCCAGTTGCGCGAAGGAACTATCCTTACCCTTATACCACATTTTCAGTCTCTCTATGAAAGTATCTAACTTCCCTATGGAATGGAAAAAGCAATTATAATACCAATTTTCAAGTCTGGTAAAAAACACTTGGTCACTAATTATCATTCGATTTCTTTTCTCTCTATTGTTTCAAAGGTCTTTGAAAAACTAATGTATAACCACTTATACAACTGCATTCACCCACAAATCATCCATCAACAGCATGGTTTCCTACGTGAACGGCCGGTAGAAACAAAATTCGTTAATTATGTTCAGAAGTCCATAAATGATGATCTCCAGGTTGACATTATACAGGGTGTCTCAGGTATTAGTACAAAAAATTTTAGGGGTAATAGGTCTCCTCTTTCTGAATAAAAAATTCTTATAACACAATGCCCCATTCTTTGTCCTTCTTAAGATATGATACGATAAAGTTAAGGGTTCACAAGTTTGAGTACTACTGGTTAATGAATTATACTAAGCAGGCTTTGCTTTGCAATTTGTAATTTGTTTCTAGTTTTGTAATTTGTTGTTTTTAATGCAATAAGCAAGTTTATTTATTAAAACCTCAATTTTTGTAAATTTTCACATTAAAGAGTGATAAAACAGAAGTGATAAATTTATTGGTATAAAGTAAATAACCTCTAAAAAAATGTCTCAAAAATAACTTTTATGTGTCAAATTAAAGTTATATTACATAAACAAAAAATGCTTAAATATAATTCTTTATACAGCAGTACTTAAACTTTCAAACCCTTAACTTTATCATATCATATCTTAAGAATGGCAAAGAATGGGACATTGTGTTATAAGATTTTTTATTCAGAAAGAGACATCTTGGCAATCTTAGGCAGTCATCTTGGACTAATTTTATTCTTAGTTTATATTAATGATATTAATAATAATAATAATAAATTGCTTTATTGTTCTCATAGCATACAAAAAAAAATCATTGTAATAAATCATTGAAAACAATAGAAGAAAAAACAGAAAAGTAAATTCAATAATTACCAATAATAGAAATAAAAAAAATAAAAATTTCATACATGAGAACAATCGTATGGCATGGTTTAACTCATATTGTTCTTTCACCATACCATAGAGAATTTAAACATTAATAGAATGCGCATTAACTGTAACATACAACAAAAAAACATTATGCAGGTGCAAAACCATTTTTACAAACGTGAAGGTCACTGCCGCTCATGCAAATAATTTAGCACGTGTCTTTTAAAAGTTATTGGTGATGCACACACTGTCCACTCAAGAGGAAGTTCATTCATTGTCTTAGCGACCTGATAGGAAAATGACTTTTTGAAAAAAACTGTATGAAAAATAGGTGGAGATAATCTCCCTTTAAATCGACAATGTCATCAGCATAAGCTTGTATTTCTACACCAGCGGCTTCGACTATCGCAATCAGATCGTCAACCAGGAGGGACCAAAGCAGGGGAGATAACACCCCTCCCTGCGGGCAGCCACCTCCCGGCCTGAAGCGTATCGTATCACCGTGGAGTGAAGTAGAAACTATTCTACTATCAAGCATATTGCGGATCCAACCCGCTATAGTTGCTTCCACTCCCCTGTCAAGAGCAGCTCTTTCAAGAGATTGTGGTATTGCGTTGTTGCACGCTCCCTCTATATCCAGAAACGCACAAACCAAGATTTCTCTATCCTGCAGCGTCCTGGATACTCTACCAACTAAGTTGTGTAGAGCCAATTCTGCTGAATTTCCCGCTTGATAAGCATACTGGTGGCGACTCAGTAGATCAGATACCAATGACACCGTACGGATGTACCGTTCCAGAACTTTTTCAAGAGTTTTCAGCAGAAATGACGTTAGGCTGATGGGTCGAAAAGCATTAGGAGTAGGGACCGAACGGCCCGCTTTGGGTATATAAGATACCCTTACCTTAGTCCATTCTGCCGGTACATATTTCCAAGCGACACTCGCTCTGAAAATTTTTACCAAAATTGGTAACAACAATGACCTTCGTTGTTGTAACAAAGCAGGAAAGATATTGTCTTCTCCAGGCGAGTTGAACGGCTTAAACGTTTGAATCGCCTGGTCCACGGATGTGCAAGTGACGACTTTTCTAGCCACACTCCAATCCGTATTTGAGGGGCGCTTTGCCTTGCAGGAATAGCCAGATGTGGCATTATCAGCCCTCATCATCAAGCTTCCTGAGAAGTGAGTCTGCATGAGAAGCTCTAACGAGGCTCTGCTAGAGTCCGTAAAACTACCGTCAAGCCGCTTAAGTGAGCCCAGGGGTAGTGCCGGATCTCTAGCGAGAATTCTTGCACTGTTGGGTGTGTCTTTCACTCCCTCACAGAACCTCCTCCAAGACTCTCTTTTTGCCTTACGTATGTTTTCGGTGTAATTCGTTAGAGCCTATTTATATTTCTCCCATTCACCTAATGTCTTGACCCGGTTAAAAAAGCCTCCGGACCTCTTGTCTTTCGAAGCTAAGAGATTCGTTCCACCAGGGTGTGCCCCGATTATTACTTTTCACCTTCAGTGGACTGCTACTGTGATAGGCAGAGCGAATTGCCACAGAGATCTGCTCCGTGGCTATTTCAACCTGATCACAGTTCCTAACGGTTGCGATGACACTAGTTAGGTCATCTGCAAGGCAACTCTTAAACAGATTCCAATTAGTGTTACGGGGATTACGGTACGTACAGTCCGATTTCATCCCTAGGTCAATTTTAAATTGAATATGTCTATGATCTGAACACGACGGTTCAGAAGATACCCTCCATGAACTTATCTTAGAGCTTAATATAATTGAGCTGAACGTAATGTCAAGTACCTCCGTTCTGTTTCTGGTAACAAAGGTTGGTTTGGCGCCTACATTATTAATAATAAGCCCGTCCCCTAATAGGTAGTCAAAAAGCAACTCACCTCTTTCATTTGTGTTGGTGCTTGCCCACATTGTGTGGTGGGCATTGGCGTCACATCCAACAACTTGTAGATTATTCCTCCGGCTGTAGGCAATTATGTCTCGCATAGCTGGACCATTTCTGTCCAGCCCTTCTCACCTTGGATTCTCAGAACCGCAGCCACACAATCGCGGTCGCTATGCTCTGAAATTAGTTCCATATCCGACAGCTTGATGCTTGAGGAGGATCTTGAACGTCTGCAAGACTATTGCTTCAAAAACTATTTGTTTCTGAATTATGATAAGTGCTATCAAATTACATTTAGTAGAAAGAGATATCCTAAAAATTTTAAGTATCGCTTGGGAGCTAATTACGTGAATACTACTTCTCAAATTAGAGACCTTGGTGTTGTTCTTGACTCAAAACTCCTTTTCTATAGCCACATAGACGCGGTAGTATCGGATGCTTGAAAACAGTTAGGTTTTATTATTCGTGTATCCCGTTTCTTCACCAACATGCAGAGCATCGTTTCCTTGTACACGGCGTACGTCGATAGGGTTTTGAATTTTGCCTCAATTGTTTGAAATCCCTCGTCCGCCGTGTATGTGGATTGAATTGAGGCTTTGCAGAGGAGGTTTTTGAGATATGTGGCCCACAAATTTAATTTTCCTTATTGTACATATGCCCAGCGTTGCTTGGTTTAAATCTACTGCATACCAATTCACCAATGCTACGTCTATTGCACTTCTACAATAGTTATTGTAAAAATTTTAATTTATTTGTAGTTTCACTGAGAGTATTTCACGTTACGTTTTAAGTTTGAGTGTGTTGTGTTTTCTTTTTATTATTGCTGATTATTTTCTGTTGTTGTTGTTCTAATTATTGTTTTAGTGTATACTTAATTGGAGTTTTCCCTGTATGTATCCCGAATATAAATAAAATAAAATAAAAATGTAATAATAATAATAAAACTACTATTGTATTATTCTAAATCATCTGAACACAAATTAATTTAAATGTTTTCCTGTACATTTCCGATAATTAATATTATTACTTATTTAATAGCTACATAGGTACAATCTCCTAAATATTGAAATCCTAACTTTAAAAATAAACTTTGTGAAGCCTTATTCTTAGTAATAATAGTACACAAAGGATTAATTCCTTCTTTAGCAATTTCTACACACATTTTCTTCACGATCAATGATCCATAACCTTTTCGTTTAAATTCAGGAACAGTTTCTAAAACTGTTAATGTTCCCCAATGATTTTGAAGTATCCAAGATACCAATCGACCGTTTTCTTTTAAAAAGACTCCGAATCCATCGTTCATTTCAATATAAGTTGACAAATACTGTTCCGCGCCAGGGAAAGCATGGGGCCATAAACTGCATATTAAATCTACATGAGACAAGTTTAATTTATCGATGTAAACATCATCGGGACACCTATTAACACAAAAAATTATAAAATTTGTGATTTTAAATGATTTGAGAGATATTACTCAATTGAATACTTCAACGCTTCTTCTTTTGGTAAATAATAAAAGTAATTATTAAAAGTGGCTTCAATTGGAACTTCAAGATCTTTTAAAGATTTATAAATTGGTGGTAAATGTTCGTTTCGTATTCCATAAATTACTGATTTATTTGATGTTTTTAAACATTTTGATTCGTTGAGTAACGAGTAAAGATCTTCACCAGTTTTGTCTAATGTAAACATAAATATATCAAACTTTTTAAACTAAAAAGTTATAAAATTTATTTATTTAATTAATTAAATTATAACATTTTTTAGAAGTACACTGGGTCAAAAAGTCTGCGAACACGTCAGAGCGTTTTCAATTTCCGGCTCTAGTCCACCTATTATCATATTTTTAATAAATAATAATCATTGTAGTCGGTATTGTAACTAAAGAAAGTGTATTGATATATTATCAATAAACAATTTCTTTGATTGTAACACATACATAAACACATTGCCATCTAGAATATAATATTTTATTTCATAAGAATAAATTTATAATATATAACTCTCCATACTTGTAGAAAGCATAGCAGAATAAGTCTCCGTACAGCACAGACAGGGACCGGGGAATTACCTATTTCTCTAAAAATTACTCACATCATGTAAAGTCATAGACGCATATTTTATTCCGTATTTTTTTTTTAAATGGAAGTTATGGAAACCTCGTATTTATAGATGGTGTTATGGATTAACATCTGTATCTCAAACATAAAAATTCAAACTTAAACAAGTCAGTTCTCTTTCAACAAGATAATGACCCTAAAAACACAGCAAAACGAGTAAAAGAATGGTTAGTATACAGAGTGGGAAAGCAACTCAATACACCTCCACAATCGCCCAATATGAATCCTATCGAGCATTTATAGGATGAAATTGGGCGAAGGGTTCGCAAGCATGAAATTAAAAGTAAAGAACAGCTTCAGATGGCAATTATATTCGATCTTTGGACTGAGTTTGGAGGTGTCACAAAATTTTTCAAAAAAGTTATGAATTTTTTACGTATTTCGGGGGTGATTTCGATCCCTTATCTCTTGAATTTCCGCGGATATGTTATTCGAAACGTTATTTTTGATGTTTCCACTAAGTTTGGTGGTGTGGCGTTATTTTCGTATAAAAAATATCAAGTTTTCTTGTTATATATACAGGGTCATCCACGACGACCGTCCATTAGAACTTTACAGGGTTCTGGCCAATACAAAAATTTGAAAATTCAGATTTAAGTATTATTAATTGCGTTCTCTTCGACTAAAATATTTTCAGATTTCTAGCACTTCCGGTTATACCGGAAGTCGCCACCTACTTTATTTTTTTACATGGAACACCCTATATATTTTTACATATTTGGATTTGTCTATTTTCAAGGTTTATGAATAACTTTACTTTTTGCAATTTGATTCAGCCGTTCTCGAGTTATTCGAATTTTTCTAGAAAAATCTGCTCCTGCAGACATTTGTTAAAAAAATCAGAGAACACTCGATTTTTGAGATATCAATTTAGGATTCAGAACATGCTTAAGCAACATGATGGAGTGTGTTTTGGTGCCGAGTACGGCTGTCTAAATCGTTTGGTCACTTTACTACGGCAAATTAACTTTTCGAAATTTGGAAATACCATAACTTCATTTTTTTAAATGGCACCCCCCATATTTTATTACTTAGTCGTCTTCGGCGTCTCATTTAAAATATTTTCA